CCTTAAGAGATATATGATTTGAAAATATTTTCTCTCATTCTGTGGGAAGAGAATTTTTTTCACTTTCTTGACAGTGTCCTTGACATGTACAAGTTTTTAATTTTGATGAATTAAAAAATGAGTTTTGAGATGCTATTGAAGTTCAGTTTGCAGAATAGTGCTAAAAAGCCAGTATCTTGTTTCTTTAAACACAAATATACACAATTATAAAAATGTCATAAAACTGTTTATCTTCTTTGTCAGAGTCAGGTCAGAGGGTATAAACATATCACCCAGAAGTCTAGCAAGCTAAGATACCATCCAGGAGAGTAAAAGAGAACATATGCTCCAAGGACACACAATTAGTGGGTGCCAAAGGCTATAGTCTAGGTTTTACACTTCAAAATAGATGCTCATCCCACTATATTAGTTAGGACAAAGCCCACTCCAGTATGGGAGGCAACGCACTGAGTAAGGTAAAAGTACTGGATGAAGTAGTGGGAAAGCGGTTCTGGATATGTCACAAATTCACTGCGTGTTCTTGGGCAAGTTGCCTCAGCTTCCCCTCCCAACTGAGTCCATGTCTATAAAATGAGGCTGGAATATCAGATGGGCTTCAAGGTCTCTTCAATATAAACATTTTAGAAAAACCACTATTGATTACACAGAATAATTTTTTTTTTAAAAAGTCAGAACCAGAAAGGACTTAAAAAGTCATTTAAGATAGTCTCAATCTGGAAGTAACTTAAAATGCAGAGGTAATAGAGATATGTGAAAACATGCAAATGTTCATGCCTCACCTCCAGAGAATCTGATTCAGGACTGCGAAGAGATCCAGAAATAAGTTATTTTTAACTAATACCCAAGGAATTCTGATGGTGACAGATTTTAATCATGTTCTAAAAAATATCTAAGGAATAACATCTATAAGTAGCTATATATATTTTTATTGAGTGCTTACTATGTGTCTGATACCAACTTTTTGGAAAATAATATTATCCTCACTTCAGATGAGTAAACTGAGATACAAAGAGATTTACTAACTTGCCCAAGAACAACCATCTGGTAAGTGGCAGAGTCAGAATTCAAAGCTAGTCAGCCAGGCTCCAGAACTTATGTTTTCAACTAAAATATAAAAGTTATGTTTTAAGATCAGTCTGACAGCCCAGCCAGAGACAGAAATCCAGGTATGAGGTTAAAAGAGTCTAGATATACCTTCTGGAAAGCATGATTTAACACCACATATCAACATTAATAGCTAAAACAAATGAAGCTAGCAGCTTTTCTTTATAGCTGCCAGATAGAACAAAATGCCTTGATGTATTTGGGGCAGAATAACTTACTGTAGTAACTTAAGTCACTCTGTGAAGGAGGCGGGAAGATTATATTTGCATACTTATTTTTAAGTCAGGAAACAAGAATTGTGATGTTTTTAAAGTCAGTTTCATAAAAGTAGAAATTTACATCTGCTTTGGGAAGGCTAGAAGCATATTCACATCTCGTTATTATATTTATTTGTGACAGGTGACACTACAGTTACAGAGATAAAATTAAAAACCCTCCCCAAGAAAATCAAGATAAATCAAAAAATGTGTATTAAAAGCAACAGTCTCTCGTTCCCACAAAGCAAAAGACTCCTTATTCCCTCAAAACCTGCTCCACTAAGAATAACATTTTTTTAGCCGGACTCGGTGGCTCAGCCTGTAATCCCGCACCTTTGGGAGGCTGAGGTGAGTGGATTGCCTGAGCCCGCGGGTTCGAGACCCGCCTGGGCAGCGAGACCTCATCTCTACAATAAATCAAAAATCAGCTGGGCGTGGTAGCGCGCGCCTGTAGTTCCAGCTACTTGGAAGGCTGAGGCGGAAGAATCGCTGGAGCCCAGCAGGTCAAGGCTGCGGTGACCAGGAGCGGCCACTGCACTTCAGTCTGGGCGAGAGTGAGACTCCAACTCAAAAAAAAAAAAAGAGTAACATTTTTTCCAATGTTCTCTTCCCCAGTACCATCAGTCTTCAGCAATTAGAGTTGCCATTCTCTAAAGCTGTTTTTGAAGACTGAGGTGGCAGATCAAGTTTTTTCCCTGCTAAATTCAATGCTTCAAGTACTTTTTCTGTGTTGATCAATACAGACAAGCCCTCATGAGAAAATGGACAAATACAAATTGGTGGAATGATACAAGACAGTATGCCATATTAAGTGACAGCTTAATTCCCATGTGCAGTAAGTGCTAGAGGAATTCAGAGGAGGACAACTCAATCAATGTAAGGCTGAAATGAAGTTTTCCAGGAAAAAGCACTCAAGTAGCTCTTGACTACTTTTTCTCTCTTCTGTCCCTTACTTCTCGGTTAAATCTTCCAAGCACTCCTTTGTGAGACCTTTTATCTATTTTTGCTGCTCATGTTGGGGTTCTTATCACCTTGTTTTTCTATTTTTATATAGCCCTTTACAAAGAACACTTATTTCTAGTGGATTCCAAAGGACAGAGAACAAAACAAAGAACACTTATCAACATTACACAATTTAATCCTTACAACAAGCCTATAATACAGAGGATGCCAAAAAAAAGTCTATTTTAAGAAAAGAAAAAAACTGTGTTAAACTTGTAATACTCAATATATACTGATAACAAAAGACGACTAGAAGTCATGTTTGACTTCTGCAATTACAAGAGGTGCTCAAAGTCATTACCATTAATCTCCAGACACTTCTGATTATGGCGTACATCTCCTAACATCACCTAAGATGTGTATACATTTTTTTGGCATCCCCGGTATATATGAGTGTACACAATGTTTACCTAAGAAAACTTAAGTTCAGTAATATCACATAACTTATCCAAGGGCATGCAGTGTTTAACATACTGCACTAGAATTCAAACTTTTCATTGTATACTATACACTAGTAGGGCATATTACGATAACAGAAGGCTTCCAATTTCTCCCTCTCCAAACTGCCTGAATAATTTTCCTAAAACCACTTTACATTGTCTCAAAAACCTTCAACAGCTTCCTACTTCTACTTACAGCAATCCATGCCCTCCCCAATCTGATTCTATCTACTTGTCTCTAGAGTTCCCTTAGAGTGCCTTCCAGTCAACTTACTTGAGAAACAGGCACCATCACATTCTGTGTACATTTGCTCAAGGAGACTTTCTTACCTGGTATGCCTTTCCTCTCTTTTCCCTCAAGTAAAGTCCCAGGTTCACCCTTAAACATGAAGTGTTCCCTTACTGCTCTCACCCTTATCAATTGGACCTCCAGGATCATTCTCTCTCATTTGAACTTTTGTAAAAAGTACACATTTGAATACACCACATTCTCCCTTAAATATATTCAATATTTTGAGTACCCCATCTTCCATATTCAACTATTCTAAGTACTCTCTGACAGTAGGGTTCTTGATTTATTCCTCCACCATCACACATTTGTACTGAACACAACAAGTTATAAAGATCACTGATATATATTGTCTTATTTGCTTCTTCCAAAAGGTGCCAGAGATCCTTCAATTTCAAATGAAGAAAGGAAAGCCCAGTGAATTTAACTGGATTGCCAACCTTCATACTGTTTGCAAGTAGCAGAGATACTTCACAGCTGAATCTTAATGATACTCAAATCCAGGTCTTTCAATAACACAATGATGCCATATGCTGCTAATTATCACAGTCTTTGCAGAATACCCATGCGCAATGTTTACTGATGATAATCCAAGTGAAGAAAAAAAATCAAAGAGCAGTCATTACGACAGGATTAGCACAAGCTGTTAGGTACTCACCCAGCAGGAAGGCAGGATTTGTGTACCGAAATGACCATTAACTCCTAATACATGTCTGGAAGCAATCAATTTACCATCACAACCTCTAGAACATATTCTTGTCTCTTAAGAATGATTGAGTGCAAGAAGCGTGTAACTCAAAACAAACGACACTAAAAAAGACAAGCAAAAGATCTGGGTCTGAACCCTTCAACATGATCATGTATTCATTTCTTAAGCATCCACCATGTGTTACGCACAGGGAAGTGTGAAAGCTGTTTTCATTTAAAGTTAAAAAGATCGTGTTTATTAAATACACCATACTTTAACAACTGTCATCAAACCAGCTTAAGGCCCTACAATGAGAGAACTGGAAGAGATTTTGGGGTACATTAAAAGTTAAATCCTTCATTTTGCAGATGAGTAAAGATATGGGAAGAGCAAGCATATTTCAAGGTCACAGAGCTAATTAGTGGCCGACCTAGCTCTCCATGCCAACTGTTTCTTCCATGATGCTGGGCAAAGAGCAAGAGGAGGCAACCCAGGAGCAGAGATGACCTCTTTTCTTTTAAGCCCCTGTTGCTAGGAAAGTTTAAAAAAACAAAACAAAACTGAATGAGCGGAGGAAGAGCGGGCAAACGTGAGCCGGGAGCCGTGCACTTGATGGAAGGGAGGTGGGGGGTGGGGTGCAGGGAGAGGGCGGGGAAAGCACAAGAAAAAAAAAAAAAAGAAAAATTGTAATAGGAGAAAAATCAATACTCATATAAATATTTTCAGTTTGGGGTATCATGATAAGCCTAGAAACTTCAGCAAGCCAAAAGGACAAGGGGCTCTTTGGAATATGTAGCTGCATGCAAGGTGATGGTGGTGAAGAGTTTTTTTTTGGGGGGGGGGCGGAATCCAGATCCTTTAATTCCTTCGGGCTTCAGTTTTCCCTGTCAGCGAAATGGGCAATTTTAACAGTGGCCCCCTGCACCACAAGGGAAAAGCGATGGCCACGCTGAAATGTGGCAATAATTCAATTACCCGAAAAAGCTGTGGTGGCCAGCATGAAGGAGCAGGAACGCTTGCGAGAAGGAAAAACGACCTGAAGAGAAGAGGACCTGGGTTTGAAGTGCGGTGTGGCCGGGCTGCCATCGCGCGTAGGATTCCCATGGTGGGCCAGATAAGGGATCCCCTCAAAAGGCCACAGAAAATAAGGGGAAAGGGGATGGGAAGGTGGGCTCGCTGCCTCCCAATGACTCGAATATTCCCCAGAACCGGCTCCTCACCTTATCCAACAAGCCGCTACGGTTACTGCCTGTCCCACAGCTGGGACCACCGCCAGCCCCACCACTGCCTCCGCCACCACCGCTCCTCCCGCCCTGTGCAGCCGCCGCCGCCATCTTCCCGGTCTCTGCGGCTCCCTCCCCTCCGACTTGTCTTCAGCGGGTTGGCTGAAGCTGACGGCGTGTCGCGCAGCGCAGAGGCTGTCGGGACTCGTAGTTCCGGGCTTGCGGACGCGAGGCTGTTAGCGGAAGTGGCCGCGGGGCTTGCTGGGACTTGTAGTTAGACGCTCCTGCCGCCCGTTGCCGCCTAGACGGCCAGCCGCCGTGTCGCGGTTACTAAGGAGTGGGGAAGGCGCCACCGTGGAGCGGCTCGGAGAACCCCGGGAGGCTCTCAGGCGCGCATCCCGCCTGACCGGGTCGTCGCGTCCGCGGACCTCTCGGAGGCGGAAGCGACGCCGGAGGCAGGTGCGGCCGAAAACTTAGTTTGCGTGAGTTAAGAGTCTTCCCTAAGCACCGAGGTGGAGTTTCCAAAAGGGTGAGGAGAAGCTCGTGCTTCATCCTTGTCTAGCCCTGTGGTGGCTTTTACCAATTATTCTCTCTAGCGACCGTCGTTTTAGCTGTTAGGAATGTTTTCGTGTTCTGGAGTGTTGCGGGAAAACAGAGAGACCGTGACACCGAGGCCGTCTTAGGAAGTAGCGTTTTCTTAGGGCCGGCGCGACTCAGCGGGCTAATGCTCCAAGGCTGAGCCCCCCCGGAGAAAGAGGAGAGGGGTTTTATATGTTTAGTTTAGGGTGGGAGGGGGGTCGGGTTGTATAGCTAGACATTTTTCTTTGGAATTTGCAAGGTGGTATTTAGCAAAACCAGATTTTCAAAGAACAGATTGTCTCCAGGGTATACATGACAAGCAGGGGTTGTAAACTGATAACTTCACAAAGAGAGGATGCGGAGATAAGGTTGTGAATTGATTACTGTCTTGCATTTCCAGGGAAGCGGCTTGTGGCTACTTGGTTTTCTCATGTCCCCTGTCTGGCAGGTTTGGAACTTGCAGGTTGATTTTTATAAAGGAATAATTTAAACTGTTTTTAGCCCCTTTCTGCTACAGGAGAACTCATATTTACTGAGTGCCTGCTGTCTGCCAGGCAGTCTCCTATGTGCACGTGCCTCTATCCTCTCATTTCATTTAGTGCCATAACAGCCCCATCAGGTGAGGAAACTAAAGAACCTACCCAACGCCAGATAGCATGTGTCACATGTACAGCATGGACCCGGTTTTGAAGCCAGCCCTTTTTTGTTTTTTTTTGTAATCTCAAAACCCATGACTTTTCCCCTCTGACACTTTGCTTTTACAGTTTTAGGATGTAATTGTGTTCTAGATTTTTCCACAAAGATTTGTTGAGCACCAATATCGCCTGGCACTATACTAAGGGATCAAGTAGATCTGGTCGCTACTCTGGTAGAAATCCTACTCTTGTGGGGTGGGCACACTTCATCAACAAGGGTACCTGCATAGTGAACATTTGTATACCTAACCCTGAATTGTACCCCACATCTATAAAATAAAAAATTTAAAAAGGAAAAAAAAAGAAATCTTACTTCAGTGACCGTTATCAACATATCACACAGCTATCATATATGCTCTATTACATTTTCCTTTTTTTAAATCCCTATGTGTCTCCCCATAAGTGTCCAAATGACTGAACAAATATTATTGAGTTACTATGTAGCTGACCTTGTTCTAGTCATCAGGAATATAATTCTGGATAAAACAGACAAAAAAAACCTGTGTGGACAAAGCTAACATTCATGTGAAAATAATTATCATTAAATTAAATAACAGCAGCTGACATTTCTCTACCTCTGGAGCAGTCCCTGGCCACTCCAGTCAAATGTGCCTGTAGCTTGCTGTTCTGTTTATCTTTTGAAATTTCTCATTTTTCAAGACCCAGGTCTAATGTCACCTGCTCAGTGAAACCTTACCTGATCTCTGTTTCTTCTTTGCTGTCTGCATGAAGTGCTCCTATAGTATTTTGTTCATGTTTGGTTCCAAGTAACACTCACTGAGAGTCATCCTTCTGTAGACCAGGCTCTATATGAGAAGGGAGTTAGAGAGATAACAGCTTGGCTTTGGAAAGACTCTCTGCCTAGAATTAAGGGGCTGGGAAATAGACTAGACAAGGAAGCAAGCCATTGTATTACATGTGGCAGAGTACCTCCATGAAGAAGCGGGCCTGAAGTGGTAGCCCAGAGGAGGGTTAGCTTCAGAGGAGGGAGGTACAGGGAAGCTATCTGTATGAGCCAGGCAGAGAAGAGGGGCAGAAGTGTGATAGGCCAAAGGAATGGAACAAGCAAATATATGCAAATGAGGAATATTATTGTATGTGTGTGTAAGGGAGAGAAGGAGGGAGAGAAAATGTGTGTGTATGTAAGGAAGAGAAGGAGGGTGGGAGGGAAGGAGAGAGAATTGTGTGTGTGTGTGTGTGTGTGTGTTGGAACTAGGAGACACTACAGTCAGATTGGCCTTAGCTACCTGAAGCTCAAGACAGAGACCGGAGTTAGCTGAAGCTAACCAGGCAGGCAGCCTCCAAGTCTGGAACTTAGACTTGCTTTTTTCCTACCATATACTTTCTCTTAGGGTTACTTTCTAGATAATGTAACCTGTGGGTTAGGTGCCTTTCTTGGCCCATTAGTTGCAGATCCACACCTTCTCTACCTAATATGCCTCATAAGGAACTGTAATTTCTATAATTTTGTGTCCAGGTCTGTATGCCCTCTATAAGCTTGAGTCTGATTCATCCTTTATAGTGTATACATAGTAAATACCTTTTCCCAGGCTGTGTCTTATCTTTCAACTTTGTCTTTGCTATTTTTATCCTGCAGAAATTTATTTTGTGTAAATGATCATGTAAATGTGCATCTTATTTAAGCACTCCAACCATATGCCATAGTCATAAGATTATTCTCCTATACCACCTTCCTATCACTGTCTCTATCACTACAGCTATGTCTATCTGTTTCTTGTATCTTAAGTCCCCTGGTTTTTTTTTTCTAGGCTCCAGGTAAGACAAATTTTGGAGCAGAGAGCTCATAGTAGGACATAATTTTTTTTTTTTTGAGTTGACTTCTCACTCTGTCACCCAGGCCTGGAGTGCAGTGGCATGCTCACAGCCACCACAGCCTCAACCTGCTGGGCTCAGGTGATTCTTCCACCTCAGCCTTCCAAGTAGCTGGAACTACAGGCACACGCCACCACACCCAGCTAATTTTTTGATTTATTGTAGAGATGAGATCTTGCCAAGTTGCCGAGACTGGTCTTGGAGAGTTTTCTCACCTCGACCTCCCAAAGTGCTGGGATTGTAGGTGTGAGCCTCTGTGCCCAGCTAGGATAATAATTAATGAAAAGGTTCAAAACCTCTGAATGGCAGGCTAAGAAGGTATATAATACCTATTTTACAGGTGAAGAAACAAAAGAAAAAGGAAGTCAAGGGGCCTTTCCCAAAGTCGAAGACCAAGTAAGTACTCTGTAGACCTGAAGCCAGGTCCCTTACTCTGTGAATTACTGGAGCTTTCTCCAACAGTCATCATCTCTAACATTTCCCAGCTAGGAATTTACTCATTTATTTCTTCCTTTCCTATGTAGCAGATAGGTGTGATTGGTTAGAAGAGAGATTTTCTAAAAGTCACATTAACTTAATACAAATCCTAACATATTTTTAGTGAGTTTTAGGCTCTATGCCAGGTGCTTGGATTACATAGGTGAATAGGTAATCATAGGCCCCATAGCAGGTGGGAAGTTGGTGAAGGGAGCAAACAATTATAATAAAGTAATAAGTACTATACTAGGGGAGATATGGGGTGTTGTAGGAATACATGAGAAGAGCTTCCAACCTTTTGCAGGAGAGGTTAGGGATCAGGAAATCATAGTACCCTGTGTTGGGCCAAAGGGAATACCAACATACATTCATTCCACAGATATATATAGACTCTGTTATGTGCCATAGATGCTGCCCTTCCCCTGGAGGAGTTTAGAGTTTAATTAGGGAGATATCTATATATCTACTCTATATCTATATCTGGTACCCACAAATCTCCCCTTGGGACCTAGGAGTGCTGTCATATCTTTCATTTTGTTTACACTTGTCTAATGAGTGCTTCCTATGTTCTAAGTCCCAAGAATGGAGGAGACAGTGAATTAGATGTGTTTCCAGACTTGGAGACTGAAGGAACCCCCCTTATGATTGTTAGTAATCTTAAATGGTAGAAAGTGTTCAGGCTGTGAAAAAGATACTGAAGAAAAACTCCAAAGCTTAGCAAAAGTAGCAATTATTTCCACTGGACGGTTCATTGAAGACTTTATGGAAGTGGTGGCATCTGAATGGGGTCTAGAAAAATGCTTTTTTTCTATCCATTACCTCATTTAATTCCTACTACAATTCTCTGAGGCACAGAAGTTTTATCTTCATTATATATGATAGATCTAAGGCACAAAAATGTGAAGTTAATTGTCCAAGGTCACTCAGTAACAGAAACTAGACTCAAACTTAAGCTTCCCTTTTTCAAAATTGTTGTCCTTCCTACTATATCACTCTATATTCATATATTCATAGAGTGAATGTTTGTCACTGCTAGGAGACCTTCTCCCAGCTTTCCAGCTTGGCCTCAGTTTTCCACACTGCTCAGTCATTTACTGAGCCCTTCCCAGACCCTCCATATCAGAGTCCCACGTTCTTCACAGAGCCTCCCTTTCCCCAGCCAGAGGCTTGCAGATTCTCAAATTGTCTGAAGCTGTCCCAAAGCAGATTTGGAAATGACTGGAACCCTTAAAGAGCAATCTTAAGAGCTCAAGGTTTAAGAAACTTAGATCTTTGAGGTGATATTAGAACCAAATCTTAAGGAGGAGATAGATCAACCAGATGAACAAGTTGGAAACTTTTAGGTTGAAGGAACACCAAGAGCAAAGGCGGGGAAGGCTGCATGTGAATGATGTGTTGGGAGAATAGAAAATGACTCTGTGGGCCTGAATGAGCAGGACTGTCTAGAGCTGGAAAGGTTAGGACACAGGACCCAGGGACTTTCAAGACCAAGCTTAGGTATCTGGCCATCATGCTTAGTGGGAACCCAGTCAGAAGGCTGTTGCTCTTGTGTATTCTAGGTGGGAGATGATGAAAGATTTAATGGAACCAGAGGAGCTGGAGAGAGAAAGACCATTGGAACAGTAGATCTGAGCTAGAATTGTCACAACTTGGTGACCAATTAGAATTATGAGATAAGAGAGGAACTGGGTCTAGGGTGATGCTCAGGGTGCATTGGGTGGTGCCCAACTGAGCATTTAAAAGACAAAAGGCAATGTTTGCTATTGAATTTGAAAATCTAAGCAATGAGAGCTTGTTTTATTGAATGGGAGTTATTGTTTAATTTCTGCACTATGAAAATAAAAGACTATCAATCAAAAAAAGAAAACTGGCAGC